AACACGAAGTAATGTAGAGCAAAATGGTCGCTACATTTTACATGAACGTTTCTTCTTGGGCACACGATTTTCATCTTCTGAACTGTCCTCTTCTAAGTCACTAGTAACATATTTTTTAGTTTCAAAAGGAAACACGAAGTAATGTAGAGCAAAATGGTCGCTACATTTTACATGAACGTTTCTTCTTGGGCACACGATTTTCATCTTCTGAACTGTCCTCTTCTAAGTCACTAGTGACATATTTTTTAGTTTCAAAAGGGAACACGAAGTAATTTAGAGCAAAATGGTCGCTACATTTTACATTAACGTTTCTTCTTGGGCACACGATTTTCATCTTCTGAACTGTCCTCTTCTAAGTCACTAGTGACATATTTTTTAGTTTCAAAAGGGAACACGAAGTAATTTAGAGCAAAATGGTCGCTACATTTTACATTAACGTTTCTTCTTGGGCACACGATTTTCATCTTCTGAACTGTCCTCTTCTAAGTCACTAGTGACATATTTTTAGCTTCAAAAGGAAACACGAACAAATGTAGAGCAAAGTGGTCGCTACATTTCACACGAACGTTTTCAAGCATATTTAAACCTTTTTTAAATCGTTAACTTTCCTTTCATATTCATAATCTTTAAAATCACATTTCACAATCGTTTAGGCGTTTGCTACATATCTTTTTTCAATGTAAGTGTTAAACACACAAAGATAGCTTCTTTGTACACAAACCTTTGAACTTTCTGCATAATCCTTCTCTGACATGTCTCCTTCAGCCCCAAGCGAGTCTCCTTAATTCGTGAAGTGCCGTAGTAGTCACTGTGACCACCACTGCTTTCTCATTTTTACATATAAATGTGTCAACATTCAACTAACAGTGTTCTTCTTCTTTCACAGAATCATGGCTACTTCATCACCATCAAAAAAGGTGTCGTATTTCGCTCACTTCCCGCATTATTTCATCAAGCCATATGGCGCACAGCAAAGGGTGAACACCAATGCAGAAATACTGGCCAAACTCAACTGTAAAAACTCCGAATGAATGTTACGCCCAAACGTGGCCATAAGTGAATGTGCACAGACTATGCAAGACAACATGGAGACATGTACCATCTTCTCAAATGAGGTCAAACAGTCGTTAGTCACTAAACTCGCACCACTGCAAGAGACGTTCAACCATTTGAACTCCAACGATAAGACGACCACCGCCACTCCACAAGACATCTTCAACGTAATGTCTTTCGCAATAGACAGGGATGACCAGTTCGACAATGAGCTGGCGGAAATGATGCATTCTGCATCTGCCATGTACGTCGCTGCAGTACAGATGCGTGCCATGCGCGCCATGATGACTCACATCGAGACCTATGCAAACAAGATCGCCTCAGACGAGCCGTCAGTAATCGCCTTCAAGAACACAGGGACCATGCAAGCGTTGCAGACCATGCTCAACACAGTCTGCCTGCCAGCCGCAACAGCACTTCCGCGAGTTGCGGCTAGGAATTTGCTTGGGCAATTAGTAAATCCCAATGGTGCTCAACAGCTGAATCCACAGGTACCACTGCCCCTGGCTGTTCCAGCAGCTGTTGTCCCTCCTGCCATTGTGCAACCTCAGCATGCTGTTCAGCCTCCTGCCCACCCACTTGTTCAACCTGGTGCTCAGCCTGGTGTTCAGCCTGCACAACAACAACCCAATCCAATGATGGACATGCTCTTGGCCATGCAGGCGAACTTGCCGAAATGAGAAGGCAAAGACAGCAGGACACCAGCAATGAAACTCCGGATGAATTGGTAGCTCAAGATCCAAACGAGGATGAGGAAACGCCATCTCCTAAGAAACCCAAGAAAAGCAAGAAAAATAAGAAGAAGAACAGGCTGAGTGCTCTGGCTCAAGATGAGTAATCTTGTTAATATCGTAACAACTATCTAACAACTAGTTTTTGCTTCGTCTACGTTTACATTCTTGTATTGCCTTCTTGTTCGTCCAATTGCTGTCCTTTGACTAACTCTGTAATTGCAAACAAAACATCTTTGCTTCAACGTCATGCACAAATATTGTATTCAACAATCCTTTGATATACATATGGGGCAAATATGTTTATCCATGCTTTCACAGAGTTGAGGGAGTCAACAGTACAGCTTTTGGATTGAAGATTTCATTTTTTTTCTAATACGTCAAATTGTTGTCCCTTGACTAACTCTGTCGATACCAAAGAAAACATATTTGCCTCAACGTTATGCACAAATTTTGTCTTAGGCAATCGTTTCCTACATACACAGGGCAAATATGTTTATCTAGGGTTTCACAGAGTTGAGGGAGTCAAGACTACAACTTTTGTATTGAACATTTCTATTTTTTCTAATACGTCAAATTGTTGTCCCTTGACTAACTCTGTCAAACCAAAGAAAACATATTTGCCTCAACGTCATGCACAAATTTTGTCTTAGACAATCGTTTCCTACATACACAGGGCAAATATGTTTATCTAGGGTTTCAAAGAGTTGAGGGAGTCAAGACTACAACTTTTGTATTGAACACTTCCTTTTTTTCTAATACGTCAAATTGTTGTCCCTTGACTAACTCTGTCAAACCAAAGAAAACATATTTGCCTCAACGTTATGCACAAATTTTGTCTTGGACAATCCTTTCCTCCGTACATAGGGCAAATATGTTTATCAATGGTTTCACAAAGTTGAAGGAGTCAAGAGTACAACTTTTGTATTCAAYATGTCCTTTTTTTGTAATACTTCCAATTTTTGTCCAYTGACTAACTCTGTAAAGCCAAAKAAAACATGTTTGCCTCAATGTTATCCACAAATTTTGTCTTGGACAATCCTTTCCTACACACATAGGGCAAATATGTTTATCTATGGTTTCACATTTTTTTCTAATACGCCAAATGGTTGTCCCTTGTAAAACCAAAGAAAACATATTTGCCTCACATCTATCTCTTTATCTATGGTTTTCCAGAGTTCAAGGAGTAAAGACGACAACATATCATACATTAATAATCGTTCGAACATTTGTTAATTCTATTTTATGACAAGTATATGTCCTTAGTTGGCACATATTGCTCACACTAGAATGTAATTTCAGTACATACGTATCATTGTTAAGAATACAGACAGATCGAACAATGATTTTAACAATAAAGAGACTGTCAACAAAATCGTTTCCGGGATTCCCTTTTGGGATGGTTGGTTCGACCCCAACTAACGATCGACATGTCTCTTTCACACACATCACACCGCAACATCCACAATGTCGAAATCTTACGAACGAAGTTTACTAAAGTATTGCCAATCTTTTAAAAAAGTTGTTGCTCATGCAAAGTTACATACTAAATTGCGCTCATTAGCCCAAAAATGGCCAATTTTGAACAGTTTTCAGTGATTTCATATCCTAGAATGGCACTTGAAATTTCTTCGAATATCGAATTTTTCAAATTGCTTGCATTGTTCTCAAAATGGGTCACAGTCTTCGCATTCGTATCCCACGATTGTCTTCCAAAAGCTATTTCGTTAGCAGTTAACGTCGCTGTGATATTTTTCATTAACTACCGTCCTGGACTGTACCCGTCGCCACACTTCCACAGAAATCAAAATTGACGGTGATCTGTTTTCCATCAAGAATGCTTGTTTCCGCAAAACTTCGTCTAAGTCACTACTCGACATTTCCTCACGTGTACTCTGGAATATATCGATCTTTCCATGACTATTCTACAAGTATCTCTATTCTTAATATCGTCATTTCCACCATGAAACACGTTCGCTACAATTCATCTTCATAATATCTTTTTGTCACGCTAAATCAACTACTATTTTTCTTCTAAGTCACTTTAAGACATTTTCCGACGTCATTCTCGAGGTTTCCTTTGTCATACTATATTTCCCCCTGCACCGTGCTAGTGTTAAACTAGGAGGAACCGTTGTCTTAACGCTTCATGACTATACCTTTGTGAGCTGTCCCTGATGTGAAGAAACTAGAGGGGAGGTAAGCGGGTGGGTTGGATCTCAGAATAAGGCTTGAGTCATTAAACAAGACCAGCCGATAGGATTCGCCGAGCTGATAACGTGTGCCGAAACAAAAGAGCAAGTTTGACCACCAGTAATGTACTTGTACTATATGACACATATATGTTCATTATAACTTTTCTGCAACATCGCAACCCCACCTGAAACTTTCACAGAACATGTAACTCATTGTGATACGTGTTGTGTACAAGTATGACAAATATGTTTTGCAACGGGGGGGTGCAGTGATTTTTCAAAGGTCACGATTTCCCATACATTCTCTGTAAAAATTCGACGGTTTTTCAAACATCACGGATTAAGCTCAAATTTGCACACATGATTTGTCTTGAAAAGTTAGGAAACTATTTTCCGGCATTTTGCTCGGAACGCAAACAGGAGGGTGCTGGCCACACTTTCATTTTTCACATTTGACGCTCTGCCAAAAATAGGCATTGGCAAAACAGGACCCTTTTTGACCCATTTTTCGACGTGTAAACAAAGTTTACAGCTCGGATATTTTCGACAAAATTTTCGACATTTTCTGTTTTCACTCAAAATCACACGCAATTTACTCGAAACTACTTTTCAAACACATTGGACAGTTCCTTGTGCATTCACAGATATGTCCAAGAAATTTCATTCTGATACGTCAATGTTCACCTGTAAAACTTCGAGGACAACAAAATTAAAACTGCTCCGATTGTCTTCATATTTGCACATGATGTTGGTCTTGTCTTTAAGAGCGGATGTCAGTAAAAATCAAACATAACGTGCCAACTCTTGAAAAATCGATTTCGCTCATACTCTTAACTTAGGTACCCTATTATATAAGATAAACAACCATGTATTTGGTTTTTGAAAATAACGTTTTATTTATGAGTAAATTGAATTTTCGTGGAACGATGTAAATATGCTAATTTTCGAGCTATGAAATGGCGATAAACTGATGGCCTCGTTTGGTTAATGCATCAATGTTTCATGCTTAAAACATTTATAAGATAAAAATATCACCCATTTTCTTTCATTTGGGCGAGTTTTAGACTTGTGGCTTATATCTAAAATTTCTGGCGAATTTTTATAAATGACACGTGTTTTTGATCGTTAAAACTACTATCAAAATAGCCGTCGATTTGACAAAGACCRATATGATCAAATCAAATGATCTTTGCAGGATAAAATGTCAAGGAAGAGTTCTTTCGATCTACGTAAAAATATCGTTGGGTAAATGTGTTTATGCTTCGCTAGAAYCGASCAAAGTTACCGAAATATTCATATTTTCAACAGGTGTGAAACCAACAAGTTGATAAACACGTCAACAAAATACCCAAGAGCAAGCATAAACTAAAACTAAACATTTACCTTGTGTTTATCTCGAGAATTTTTGTGTTTTGAGACGTTCTAACCACTTTTAATCAGGACATACTTGATCTTCTGTTGGGCTTCCTGTGGTTAATTAGGCGCCCTAAGTGATGCTATTTTTAACTCTTATCGTAAAACTTTATTTGTTGTTTATCTGTTTTATTAAAAGATTTTCATAGAACTTTGCCTTCGCGCGCAACCGCCGTTCTGTGTACAATCAAAACTGCGTTTTGGAGAATTTGTTTACAAGACAGTACTATCGACATGCACGCTTGTTGTTCATTTAGATCCCTCGTTGGATGCAATTGTGCTTTAAATCGAGCTAATGAAAAACAAATAATGCCGTTACTTTCGTACAGTAAAACATTTCGAAGCACMAGACGGCATTCAAGTTCAMAGGTCCTGAAASCCGGGGGGARGRRGRGGAGGAGGAGGGGGTTGGTACTCSCCTATATTCGCTATACGGGGACATGCCGCCAASTAGGGTATCGTTGTCAGCGATTTTACTCTGGAACTGGGTATCGTTTTTAGTGATTTTACTTTGGAACAGGGTATAGATTTCAACGCCAACGAATTTTCTCTGGAACAGGGTTAGGGTTTGATTCCGGAATTATTGATGCAGGGTAAAAATTCACGGGGTAAAATTTCGGTCTACACGCAGGCTAGTGCTGGATTTTCTCTGGAACAGGATATCGTTTTCAACGATTT